ACCAGATCGCTTGCTCATAAAATACTTAATACTCAATCGTGTGCACGCATATGTACTCAACAAGCTATTTTAAACTATCTGTACATGTTGACCAGTACCAAGTACTAGAAGCGACTATTAAAGAAAAGAAATATCGGCAGCAACAGCCGACAATCTGTGACTGCTCCTCCAGTCAATTTGAGGTTTTTCAGAATTAAGATGTAGATTCTTCGAAAAACTTTGCGCTGTTGCCAATATCCGCACGTCCTTCGGTGCCCGGAAGCCACTCGCCACTGTAAAATCAAGAAGCAGTTGTTATTTGGAAAGAAGTATCATGTTGATCTTCACTGCGCGACTTGTAAACATGAAGTCAAATGGTGTATTCTTAGGATTAATAGTCATTTTACAACCCAACCAACATGTTCTAGCATGGCTTAGTGGGTGGAGTACTCAGATCGGAATTCGAAGGTGACAAGTTCGAGTCCTGTCGTGGGGTATTTTGTTTTCATTTTTAAAAATTTTATTGTGAATTTGCACAATATCACTTATTTCGCTTCTATATTTATTTATTTATGGCAAAGGCCTCTCCCCCCCCCCCTTGCCCCGTCCTAACCTTGCGAAGCCATTGTGCGCAAAGTAGCCAGCACCTCCCAGCACTGGTATTAGCGAGATATGGGGCCCATAATCAGGCATGCTGCTGGCACTGGTATTAGCACGATACTGGGCCCATAATCAGGCATGCCGCTGGACACTGGTACCCAGTGGCACTGGTTTTTACTTTAGGGCCACAGCGATGGGAAGGTTGCTGATGCCTTGGCGGAGTATATTTAATGTTCAAAGAGATTTAGGTTGTAGAGCCAACTCACTCTTGTATTTTCTAAATTTCGTTTAAATTCCGGCTTATTATTTTCTCAGTTAGGCAGCTCAGAGTGACTGCCTTTGTTTGTACTCCTCTATTGGTAGTATTTTCAATTTTGTTACAATACTATTACTTTCATCTTTAACTGGATGACATTTAATTAAATAAATCAAATAATTAAGAATTTTTCATAAAAACTACCCAGTTCTTGGCCAATCTCCCAGCATGGGTGTGTGCCACTATGCAACGTTCTACTCTACTCTACATTAAACATAGCCACGGACCACAGTGGCACAGTGCTCTGATGCTGACCCTGCATAAACGCGTGTTGTGACGCTCGAGTGTTGTAATCATAACCGTAGTGCTCGCATTTTAATGAATGCTAACAGATGTTAAACCATGTCTGCACTAAAGAATCCCGAGTGGTCAAAACTTCCGCAGCAGAACACTGCGGCGGGCCACATGTTCATGTCATGGTCATGATACATGTGAAACTCCAGAAATTAATACACTGTACATGACTGGAGATAAGTGCCCCCATGTCTCCCATGTTTTCAAATTTTTCATATGTGTGCTGAAAAGAAAACATTTATAAAACTTTTTCCAGTTCTGTGCTGTTCTCTCAGGTGCTAGTATTAAAATCCCCGAATTTCAGCTAATTAAACAGGAGGAATAATGTAAAACAGCCTTTTGAACTCGTAGTTTCGGTTTCCATGCCACCACCGACAAAAAGTGGCCGCGCACTGCCGCGAATTATTTTACCCGCTGTGTGTCGCCGCCGAGTCTTAATGACCCCCACGCCGCCGCCGGTTCAAACCACCACAGTGCACACCTCTACTGCCTATATTTCAGAACAAAAAAAGAAAACACAGTATTGGCGTGCATTTCTGCTTACAACACGGGCTAATTGACAAGCATGATCGCTCGAGCTTGCATTTGCCACCGATCTAAAAAAGTAGTCAGCCCAAGATAAACCTGCGACGTATGGCCAAGCACGCTGGCCAACTTACTGCCGACTTGGCCAAGTGGCTACTGGTGATGGCAGCTGAAAGCAACCAAGACGTGTTGGGCGTGCAGTGTGCCTAAGACTGAGATTGATGGTAAACTTCAGAAGGAAACTGTGGACAATTCTGTTAAATAGCCATCAGCCCAATACCGACATCCTACACTTACCTTTTGAGGGCTCCTGTTGAGTGACAAACACTACCGCTACACCCACAACGCCCACAAGCTTTGCATATGGTATTCTAATTCTCGAAAAGCTTGCACTTTTTGTGTCTCGAATAAATTTTGCCTTGTGTTGAACCTCTGCTTTTATTGTTGAGGTAAATTTTGATTAGTACTTCTCAAAGCTTGCTGTTAGTTGCTGGTGTGAGAATCCTGATTTGCGGCCACTTTGTTTTCTTTTTGCCCTGTACGTTTTCGTGGAAAGTTTTCCCCGCGTAATTCTCGTACCCCCCAACTTTGCATCGGTTTCCCCCCCGAAAAAAGTGCGACGATTATGCGAGTAAATACGGTACTACAGAGAACACAAAGTTTTCACATTTTAATGAAAGTATTTTAATATCATTAGAAGACTAAGACAAATCAGTCAGATATTTGCAAGCGATATAGTTAACATAAATGCAGACACTACCACCTTTTCGTTTTTCTCTATTTAGGTTAACCAGGCTGTAGCCCTCTATATTAATGATATCTATGTTATTTCGGCACCATGTTTTCGTAAACATGATAATTGAAAACTTGAAACTAAATGCTTCAAGGAAAGTAATTAGGTTGTCTTCCTTAAATCACGCTGATTGAACATAAATGTGCAGAAACGTTAAAGGGCCTATTTTACTGGTCAGCTAGCAATAAGTTTAATGCAGTCGGACTTTTTTATGGTGCATTCATTCAAGTTTGTTGGGCCGATATAGCAGTCCTTGCATTCCTAAAGGTATACTGAACAAAAATTGGAAAAACTGATGAAACTTCGAAATTCCACTCGGAAGATGCCACTGTTCCAATAAACGAAGTTTATTTACCGTATTTCAGGACAGTTGGTTGTATTTTTGATATATTGTAAACGCACAGCGGCTGCTTGCAAGCACGAGCAGTGATGTCAAGCTCACCGAGGCGCATGCAGGATGCACATGTTCTTTTCCTCCCCTTCTTTTTCTTCAGCTGTCTTTTCACTCCACTCTTTTCCTTCCACAAAAGTGCTGGCACTTAGCCCCAGCCAGAAGCATTGTTCGCTGCTGTTGCTGTTCATACCACTTATGGGAACCGAAGTGGAAGATGGGCAACTCGAGAGACGCGGGCGATGGCTGGCATTGTTGGCTTACCAGTTTCTGGTAAGTTTGACGTCACCCAACGTCACATTCTCTAGTTCAGTTCATGGCGCTGCCCCTAGACGCGACAGTTAGAGAAAGACGCATTAAATTTGTTATTGTCCTGTAGTTTTTGCTTGGAATGAAGGTTTTCTCTATCGATTTCAGGATCCAATCTATCGATTTGGCTTGAAATATTGGCTGCTATTGCTATTCACCGCGTGCTAGCCAATGCTATTTACCACGTGCTTATAGGAGGTTTTCAGAGGCCTATAATGGGAAGAGTTAGGGATAAGAGTTAGTGGAGAGTACCTTAATAATCTTCGCTTTGCCGATGACGTTGCATTGCTGAGCAACTCAGGGGACAAATTACAACTCGTGATTACGAAGTTAGACAAGGAGAGCAGAAAGATAGGTCTTAAAATGAACCTTCAGAAAACGAAAGTATAATGTGCAATAACCACAGAAGAGAAGAGCGCTTCGAGATAGGTAATAGTGTACTAAAAGTTGTAAATAACTGCGGAGCCGAACCACGAAATTGAAGTAACTAGAAAAGCAAGAATGGGGTGGAGCACATTTGGCAGGCACACTCAAATCTTGACAGGTAAATTGCCACTATCCCTCAAGAGGAAGGTTTATAACAGCTGCATCTTGTCGGTACTTAGCTATGGAGCAGAGACCTGGAGACTTACAAAGAGGGTTCAGATTAAATTGAGGACCATGCAGTGAGCAATGAAAGGAACACCTTAAGAAACGAAAAGAAAGCAGAGTGGATCAGAGAGCACACTGGGGTTAAGGATTTCATAGTTGAAATCAAAAAGAGGAAATGAACATGGGCCGGGCATGTAGCGCGTAGACAGGATAACTGCTGGTCATTAAGGGTAACTAACTGGATTCCGAGAGAAGGCAAGCAGGTTAGAGGGAGACAGAAAGTTAGATGGTCAGATGATATTAAGAAGTTTGTGGGTATAAAATGGCAACAGCAAGCACAGGACCGAGTTGACTGGCAGAACATGGGAGAGGCCTTTGTCCTGCAGTGGACGTAATCAGGCTGATGGTGATGATGATTGGCAGCAAAAATTTTGTTCAGTATCCCTTTAAGAATGGGTCCGGGTGGCAAAGTGCAAACAGCAACACCGAGAATCCTGAAGCCTTCTGAGCCGAATGCAAGCTACAACCGTGAGCCGAGGAAGTGGCATTGTACACAGAGCAGCATCATCAAGGCAGTGACAGAAACATGTTCACCAAGCCTGACGCCTACTTTCAGCAGGAGTATTCGAGTGGCTGCAACATCTGCAACCACCTGTGGTCTCAAGTTCCAGCTTCGCTGGCTAATCATCAGTACGAAGTGCTTGGGCGGGGACATTTTTAAAATTTTCAGCACTCACGGACTTTGGGCTGCATGCCCCTATCGGTGCCGTTCTTGCTGTATTTATCTGTAGATTCTTCAGGTGACCTGCTTTGTGAGTAGGGGTTTGAAAAGTGTTAGAGGGCCTCTTTATTGCTTTTACTAGGTTTGCAGACATACCTTTGCATTTCTCTCAAACTCGGTAAAGGGTGGCTAACTTGATTTTTATTATGAGTTGCTAAAGACTTAAAAATGTATTTGCTGTGTTCATCTCTTTGACTACATTATAATCGTACAGTTTCTCCACTGCTATGACATTATCATATCACCAGCTTTTGGGGGTCTTAGGGGGTTGCACATACTTTGTTTGTAACTGTAAACGGTAGGGGCACACCAATAGACGGAACTGGCGAGAACGTTTTACACTTCACACAGGAGCCTGTAGACATAATTCACATCATATTGAGCCAGCAGTGAATGCTGATCACTTGATGCTTTTGTACAGGCTGCGTACTGTGCCTGGCATCCAGTTGCTTGGCTCACCCGATGTGAGTGTGGTGGCCGTTGGCTCGGAGGAGTTTGACGTGTTCCAGTTGATGGACCAGCTGACCAGTCGAGGTTGGAACCTTAACCCACTGCAGTACCCATCGGGTTTCCACTTGTGCGTCACATTGCTACATGTGGCCGAGAATGTCGCCGACCGGTTCGTCAGCGACATCCGGGAATGCACAGCCGAGATTATGCAATCGCCTCGCTTGCCAAGCACTGGAAAGGTGAGACCTGTTGGTACATTGTTTCTGGTATGCATGGCTGAAGAGATATTTTTGTAAGGACAAACACATCTTAAAACAGTAGAAGCATCCACTTAACCTACAAATAGATCTTGCTTTGGAGCTTTGCCTAATGAATACAAACCTATTTCCAGAAGTACTGTGCCAACTTGTGGGAGTAGTATAATATGGGTTAGGAAAATTGATGGAAGGCTTTACATGCTATTTGATGCATAGAGTGGGTATTCATTTAGCTTCCCACTGTGCTTTGGCTGTGTTTACATTCTCAGCCATTAAATAATCTACATTTTTATGATGTGTACACCCACAGATTGTGACTGTTTAAATCCTCTTGCTTGCTTGCTTGCCTCAGCTGTAATTGCACAAAATACTTTGCAAGAAACTTGCTCTAATGCCTTCGAATTATTCGAATCACTCAGGGAAGATGTATTCCCATCTTTTTTTTTTAGCTATAAAAGCCCAACTTTGTTCATTGAGCTGGTTGGTCCTTGTTCAGTGTGTGCTGTCTCAAAGGTTAGACAGCTGACACCATTCTTAACTAGTTACTTGTAAAAGTTTTCCCGTAACTACTTGTTTGAGTAACTTGTAACTTTAACTAGTGACTTTTCAAGGGGTATTGACATGCAATTTTTTGCTTATCGATTTTTTTTTTGCGTCAGATGCAAGCCTAGCCTTCAAGAGTGTAGAAAATGTTCTGGTAAGCCTGAGTGCGCCCTAAAGAATAGTTGGATAAAAAAATTGTCGCTCACGCAAAAGATTGTGGGCTATGATGCTTGTCTGTATCCACTTCCGGTTCGGAATGCTGTGCTGCCTGACAGGCGTTCTTGCTAGTGCCGTCGCTTTCTGTGTGTTCCACCTAGTACTTGAGGAGGCCTTTTCTAACAAAATGCTGCATGATACATTGGAGTGCTATGAAGCTTAGATGAATAACAATTACAGTCCTTACAAGATAGTTATAATAGTAAGAGTGGTCATTTCTTCATTCAAGCAGCATACACATCTGGACACATGCACATTATTTTGCAGCAAAGGGTGTTTTCGTGCATGTTTCCTCACATACAATGATTCAGTGATCCCACTTCTGCGCCAAGTGCGCCAAAGTACGCCAAATCAAATTTACTGCACCATCCTGATAATACAATGGAAATTGTGCCAAACTACACCAAAGTCAAACTTTGAAGCGTCTATCACCGGTGATACCCATGCCAGCGGGTCAGAACATGTGCATCTCTTGGGGCCAGCAAAGTCACAATCACGTGCCTAGTTATTCCGCTGAATAAACAGGGGTTGCGCGTGCGTCCTAAATAATCGCAAGATCTATGTTCGGCGCCGGCACAACTTTTGTTGTGCAAATCTCTTTAACGGTAAAACGCGCTCTCCGCAGAGGCTCGTGACATGTGGTCCAATTGGTTGCGTGAAACTGTGGTGTCGATTTACAGCGGATGTCGTCTATTCCAGCTCGTTTCAGCTGGAATAGCTCATTTGAAAAGTTGCTTGGCATGTAATTAAAGTGATTTATACTACTAAGTTCATGCGTGCCGCCAGAATATCTGTCACGTCTACTTCTGTACATCGCTATCTATTTTCTGTACTTCGGGTCCACAGAAATACAAGTGGACGATGAAAACGCGTTCACACTTTTCTTCTAATATGCTTTATTCCTGGACATTCATTCAGAAAAGTTTTTTCATAATGCTTTTCTGCAGTACATCCGCGTTTGTAATCGCTGTTGCAGTAAAAGCCCTTAAAAGAACCCTGCTCTTTCGAATTCGATATTGCTAGGGTCAAAATACAAAATTTCCGTGTGCCTTTTTAAAAAATGTTATCTGATTATTGAAAGCATGCGTCCTGGTTGGAGCAGCCACAATTCGCTTTTGATACGTGCTGCTTTCAGTAGGGGGTCATCGCTGGCGGCTCTGGTGTCAGAAGGCCCCCTGTGAAGTGACTACGATACGGTTAAAAAAAAAGTTGAACATCACGGCATCGCATTCATTGCTTAATTTTTTTTTAAGTGGGAGTGGGGAAGGCTGCGTTGCTCAAAGGGCGCAGTCGCTGGCGCACGCTACGCTATATCTGGAGGCATAATGAGACTACTCAAACTTTCTGTGCTACTAACCTCTGCTTCGCGTTTCGGATAACTGACAGCACGAAAAATGCTTGGGCAACTTGAGGGATCATTGTCTCTTTAGCCAGAGTTCTTTTGACTTAAGCGATATTGGGTCCAAAAGATAAAATTTTTTACTATCACATAAGCTCTTAGCAATGAATGCGATACCAACAAATTATATTTTCATACCAAGTAATAAGGCTTGACGTCATCCGGGAGGTGCACTAGCAGCGGGGTTGCCATTTCCATTTCGGAGGTCTGCACACTCCCCGCACGCACAGAAAGCGCGCGCGGTGTTCGACATTCGTACAGCAACTTAGATGACTAGAGACGCCTGGAACACCTCTTGCACGGCGACGCACCTACAGATAAAATCAGACTTGTCTAGAGTACCCAGCCAGCTGCTTCAGCTGCTGTACTTTTTTTGTTGTTGTTTTCAGAAATATTTAACGAGAGATGCCATAATGATACCAAAGATGGTCATGCTGTGTGTAATGTTTTTCTCATTGTGCTATAATCATCAATGCAAGCTTGTAGCTAACCTGAGATAGAAGCCGCCACGGCCAACAACACTGTCGGCAGGCACGCGTTCTGCTGCTTTAAATAAGTGTGTGATTTTATAACGGCTTGTATGAATGGACCTCCAAAATGGCCTAACTGTGGTGTGACCACCTTGTGATCGAGGCTCTGTGCGGACCCCTATATGGCCGCTCCTGAAAGCAAAGCACTTTCGCCCAGTCACTTAGCGTTGAGAGTACAAGATAGAGGAGTGTACCAGCTGTGTTTAATGCCGTCCGATATAGTGAGCGGGCCAACGATTACACCTTTAAAGTCAGAGAGTATATAACACCTCCCCCCCCCCCCCCCTTACTGACCTAGTTCCTGCCTGGTCTCTGAAAACGGGCGGCGCGTTCCTCTCTGCTTTAGTAACAATCGATGTAACTCAACTTGCTGTCCCAGGTGACTTGTGGTGATGCATGTGTCGTCAAAACATTACATGGCTTCATCGTTGCAGCAGTCTACATCTCGCCGGGAACATCGCGGAACAACATCATTAAGTTTTTGCTCCACAACTTCAGTGGGGTGGGCTAAAAGGCTGTGCCAGTGATTTTCATAGGAGACTTCAGCGTGAATGTACTTTGATGTGAAATTGAATGGCTTGTGGCATTTCTCGGTGCCGAACTTGGACTTCACCTCCTGTCTGACATCACACAGCCAACTACACGCAACAACACGTAGGTATCTAAATGTTGTGTTCGGAAAGAGAGTTGCATCACGAGTGCACTGTGTGCCATTGCCAACATACTTCAGTGACTAAAAGGTGGTTTTCGCCGTCATCGACTGAACTGTGTTTCATTTATATTCACTAGTGTTTCTATCGAAATACTATATTTACTGCCTTTAATTCATACACGTCATTAAATACAGAATTTGGTTCGCCATGTGGGTCTTGCGTTACTATCGTTCCCAGCACACACACGAGGGAGGGCCTCCCCTCATATAAATGCACTCTACACATAAGAAACTGCCACCAGCGGTGACACACCACGTATAGCCCGTAGTATCAGCATGCGCTGCCCACAGGAAGCGCTTCTCATCAACGCTGTCATTACGCACAATCCTTGTGGTCATTTACTGTGGTCACGTGGCAGGAAACTTGGTTACTTAGCAAGCACATGTTTAATACAGTTGATATTGCGCCTAAAGATGGTAGCCTTACTTCGTAAAATATTCTAATATGTTGCTATCGCACTCAATGCTTCGCACTTTGGGGGAAACTGTTTTTTTTGAAATTCGATTCGAAGTGAATTTGAACACTGCCTTATTCGCACAAGCCTACTAAATAGAGCTCCTTGGCTAGTGTTTTGGAAATTGTCCCCTGGCTGCTTGCTATTGCATTTCGCATGAGGAGTTCCGCATGCTCAAAATAATAATTTAATGATGGAAGAAATCATTTAAACAGACTTGCCTTTGCCACATTGATGAACTTTGACTTATATCTTTAAAATGCATTTTTCTCAAGATCCAGTTTGGGCAACTTTTTGAGTTTAGGTATTTCATTTTTGATACTTCTGATTGCCAAATCATTAAAGGGCATCAAGATTGATGCCCATTAAAATGTTTAATAAGCACTTTATTATTAGTTATTTGCATTCTACAATTAGTGTGGAGCAATATGTACTATTATGAGCCATTATTAATGGCTGAGAACCATAAAAGTTCAGTGACATAAAAAGTTTGTCCAAAATGAATTATACCTCATGTATTGTTATGGCACAAAACAAAAACTGTTCAACTTACCATGAAACTAATCACGTGTTTGAAATCAGCATAAAAGCCTAGATATACAGCGAAAAATTTCATTGCCCCAGGCTACAGACTGACAAAACTTTCTTTTCGAATCGCATCTTTCTTTAAGGGGGGACATGGGTCTTAGAGCTCTCTCATTTATTTTTGAACCAAATGTGACAAAAGTTGGTATGCTTATTCAGTTTGTTCTCGAGATTCTAAATATGTAGTTATTTTTTATAGCATTATTAGTTCATTATTTATTATGATAACAATATCTATTATTTCTACCACAGTAATAACCACTAGTCCGAAATTTACAAATAGCATAGGGATGAACACTAGAAAGCACAAGCTACACAGCATAAAAAGCGCTTTTTTTATTGGGTCATTATTTTTTACTTTACAGTACACTAAACTTCATAGCTCTGAATGTGGCCATTTTGTGGTCACACAAAAGACTAATTTAAAAAACTTGCATCAAGAGAAATCAAAGTCTGCTTCCTATGTTGTGTGCTCCAAACATATAGCTTCATGCTGCAAAAAAATTATTCTCCTATCTGTAATAGTTTCCGATATATTGCAG